ACGCATTTCGACCCATCATTTTCCACCCTATTGTAGCAAGGACAAAATCTGACCAACTTTTCAAACTTATCTGCATAGTCAGCCACAATAATTTTTCCTTGCTTCAACTACAAGAACTTAATATTTTTCTTACTGCAAACATCAAACGAAAAGTAATTCTCTAAAAACTCTTTCTTGAAGTTCTCCCAAGTGATCTCAGTACATGTTTCTTCTAGTCTCTAACGAGCATTATCCCACCAATACTCAACCTCCTCTAACAACATATGTGTCTTAAACAACACTTTCTGCTCCTCAGTACAAACCATAACTCATAAGATCTTCTCAATCTCTTGCATCTAAATCTGAGCACCCTCGGGATCATACCTTCCCTTGAAATTAGCGGATTGTTCCTCTGAAACTTGCTCAACCCACATAATGGATCAACTCCATCATTTTGATTTCCCTGATTGTTATTTTGATTTGCCTGCAATGCCTCATTCGCTTGTGCAACACTTGAGCAAAAGATTGTAGAGCATCAACAATTGTTTCATCGTTTCTATCTCCAGCCACTTTTTAGCACACCAATAAACAACCATTAGGAGAAACATGCATCGATAATGATTAGACTCAATAACCAAACATGGACTTTTAACAGGCTAAGCTCAAGCACCAAATAAAGATGTTATTGGGATAATCTTAAGAACCAAATAGACATATGAACTCGTTAAGGTCAAGAACTAAATAAAAACTTATTTCAAAGATATTAAAAAAGTGGTGACCCCCTCTTGAGTAATTTACAATATTCACACGGCACCAGAACAATAGGAAAAACTCACAAATATTTTTCACTCTCAAAGAACAAAGGACATTTTGTAAAGTGAGAGAGTAGATTGAAATACATTTTTTTATGTATTTTGAAATAAGGAGAAGCCCTCTATTTATATAAAAAAATGGCTTAAAAATAAAAGATCCATGAGCCTTTTAATGACTTAATCGATTTAGTACTAGGGTTAATCGATTAAGAGCTTTAACATGAAGACAAACCTAATCCCAAAAAGGAAATCCTACAATAGTTATGTGTCCTAATCGATTAGGAGTATTTATAATTTATTGATGAACCTTTTTCCTTGCTCTAATTAATTGGATTAAGACCCTAATGGAAGAGAGGAAGATTAGAGATTGTTATTATCTTAAATATGTTTTGGTGTTTTTTTGTTGTCGTAGCGTCTGTTTTAATGGTTATTATTATATAATTGATATTACTTTGTTATTTTGATATATTTGTAAGACTTGTTATTTTTACAATATAATTGAAATTTTATTTGATGTTGCTTTAAATTTTGTGTTATGCATATAAAAAGTATTTCCAAAATTGTATTATTAAAAATATAAATTATAGAAAAGGAATTTTTGTAAAAAAAAAAATTGACATAGCTAATTTTGTCCTATACCAACGGAAATACACGGTGAATAAAGTAATTAAATAGTGTAATTAGTCGTTTCTATAGCCCTAAAAAAATTTCCAACCCCTAAAAAGTATTGTTGGTATACGATATTGGGATGATAAAAAGTCGTTGGTATATGGAATTATAGTTGACATACCCAAACGTCCATTGGTATAGGTTTTTGTACTTTCACCAACGGTTTTTGGACCTTTACCAACTGACTTTTGCCGTTGGTAAATGTCAAATTTCTTGTAGTGCATCATTCGAGATTTCTTGACCACAGATCATCTAGGACTTCCCCAAACTCAATTTCACCTTATTTGTTGCCCTTTTTCTAATGTTGTCTTTGCATCTTGATCTTGATAGAAAATCTTGATCATTACTTCATATTTACAAATGAAGACTTCACATCATGTCATTTGACATATAGTGTTATCATCATCAAAGCCATCATGAACATCTGACAATTTCATAAAGTTGTACCTACAAGCACATATATCTACATTCACCTTATTTTTTATGATGACGATGCATCTTAGCGAGGAGGAAAAGATAAAAATACATGGTTGAATGATTTGAGTGGTTAAACTTCCTCTCACATAAATAGAAATACTCCTTCTTAGAGTATGTGATAAGTGCCAAATTATGTTGAATATTTGTATAAAGTAGTGACATTTCTTAACTTGATTCATTGTATTTACAAGGAAAAACCTTAACTTTTGTGTAAATATTGTGTAGATTGATCATATGCAACTTATTTTGTAGGTATGTGTGCATTGGAGGAGCTTTAGGCATTAAAAGGCAAAATCATGGCTTCAACTTTCAATTTTTGGATCAAAAGCAAACCTACAGGTGGGGCTTAGCGCACTCAAAATTCCATCTGAATAAATAGATCAGATTTGTATAAATCGATACTCACTTCAGATTTTTACGGCTAGACACTCATTTTGATAGAGAAATACATCAAGAACAATAGAAAAACTCACACCAATAATCGACTTCTAAACATTCTTGCTTACCATCGCTTCTCCTTTCTTGTGAAGCAAGCTACCATGATAATGTGTAGCTAAATATCTTGTGTTTGGATTAGATGTAAGTAACCATACTTGTATGTATTTCTTTTTATCATTATTATGTGAACTAGTTATGAATTAATATAGATGTTAACTTTGATTTCATGTTATTTTTATGGTTTGAATCATTATTGAGAAATATCTTTCAAGTATTGACCTAAAATCATCATCTATCAAAGAATAAAGTCTAGATATAGATTTGGAGTTTGATATTCACTTGTATCAAGTCTTAATTTTATTGTATTGCTTAATAGGTAGAGAGATCATCGTTTAAACAATATAGTAAAGTTCGTGTCATTGGTTAGACATAATCGGTGTTGAAGAGTGATACATGATAATAGCGATTAATAACTATGTTCACATACTAGATTAGATTAATACATATGAAATAGGTTAATGAAATCTAATCCTGACATGTTTCTCTCCTTGTTAATTTCCTAAGCATTTTCCGTTTTTATATGTTGTTACAAATTGTTACTTTTCACAATCAAAACTCTTAGGAATCTTACCTTAAAATCGTATTAGATGTGGAACGACAGTGATATCACACTAATCTATATGGAGATGATACAAATAATACTTACCCCACCAAAAATATTTCAAGAGTATGCTTCTCCCTCTTTTCCATTATCAGTAAGGCAGGAATAACAAAAATATATATTAAAGGTAGAAAAACAAATTCAAGCATATATATCATAAAAGAAAGATAAGGATATTTAATAACCAAACCAAAACAATTATTCATTAGAGGAAAAAAGGAGATTGTATAAGAGAAAAATTTAAAAATTAAGAAAATAAACTAAGCAACCAATAAGGCAAACAAGAAATGACTACTCAGTGTCCTCATCATCTTTACTAATTAGCCTGACTGACATAAACATCCCGGTCTTAGCAAGCTTCAGTACCACATAGTCAATATTTTTGCTTGTCCACTTATGATCTTTGATGATGCATTGAAGAAGAGCTTTAGTATGAGTTGTCTGAGGGGTCTCATACTCATATTCCTACATAGTTAGGAGACCTCCTTATTAAAGTGCATGTTCTCTTTTTTCATTCATTTGGTGTAATTTTTAGCCATTTTTAATTTGAAGTCGTCCATCAATAATGTTTTTCTCCATTTTTTTTATTTAAATAAATAATTATCTACATAGATTTACTTTTTTTTTTTATTTTTTTTAATTTTCATTGTTTTATATAACGTTTATTGATTTTCTCTATTTTAATACGGTATTCGTTGGTTCAGATTAACATTTTCACTCCAATACTCCAATTTATTACAGATTTGATGAAGACTTTGACGTCAATGTTACAGATCCAAAAATATGAATATTTTAATTTTTTTTTATTTTGTCATATTTGTAGGCACTTTCATATTACCGTGGTATACTATTAACTTAAATGCCGTAAAATTATTTACATATTCATCTTTTTCAATTTGTAACAATCTTGAATTTATAATGATCGATGTATTTTTTTTTAATTTAAATGAATGAGTATTTTTTTTAATAAAAATAAAATATAAAACAATTTTTTTTCTCCAAATATATCTCTCATTCTCCATTCTTCCTATGAACTCACTATAACCTTCTCCATTCCAATAGAGTGGAACTTAGTTATAATTCCCCTCATATTATTGACTTTTAGGAGTCAAATCTTAAAACAAAGTCACAATATTCTTTTTGTGGTATATAATAAAACCACTAGTTTGTCATTGGACCCATCCATCCAACCTATTTAAAAATATAAAATAACTTCTAAAGTAAAGACTTTAAATGGAGTCAAGAGTTAAACTCAAGATAAAAAAACAGGATTCTATTATCCACCCAATTATCCTAATGTATAAAATAATTTATGATATTATATATTCATAATCAACTTAATTTTTTTTAAACTTCTTTAGTTTATAATATTTTATATTTATAACTAAATTATTTAATTTGTCTTTTTAGTCAAAAATTTTTAAATTATATTTTAAAGGTCTAAAGCTTTAATTTGTGATTCTTAACCCATAAGATGTTGGTTAATAGTTATATATATGTGTGTGTTTTTTGGAAGCCTGTTTCACATCTCGCAAGCAAATCCATGATCCCATAAGATGTTGGTTAATAGTTATGTTTGTCCCAAGATTCCATGATTTGTCGGTTTGTACTACGAGTACTTTTAGTACTTTCCCTTTGATGTCAGCACGTTACAAGTTGTGTACTTATTTTGTGACGAACCCCCATATATTCAACTATCACTATAAATTTAAAAAGTGCAATTAACTCATTCAACAAATTCAAATATCACTTTCTAAAGTCAATCATCCTTGTACAATGCCGCCTACATATATATTAGTAATTTAAAATAGCCATAAATATGTCAATTGATGTTGAGATATAAACAACATCACTAAATTCCTCCTTTTTTTTGTCGATAAATAGTTTAATCACAAGCCAGCTACATATTCACCATTTTCATCATAGTATAGCACATAAATTTAAAGCATATTTGTTTTCAAGACATGAGGCTTCAAAATGGAAAAACGCATGCTACCACAAATGAACTTGATTTAATGTCTGGTGAAGATGAAAACAAGAAACAACAAAGCTTCTATAAAAACGAAGCTATTATGAAAGAGGTTCGAAAGGGTAGCAAGAAAATGGAGGATGGTGATGGATTGAAATGCTGTACATTTGGAATCTGTCTTCCAGGTTTTGGTAAAGTAAAAGCAATTAAAGCAAGAAAAAGTGAAACCAAAGTGGATTGTTCAGTGAATGTGATTTCTAGTACATTTTCATTTTCTTTTGAAACCTTTGACATTAATGCACAAGGAAGAATAGTTCGTGAAGATAATAATGAAGATGATTCTATCAGTTCCTACTTTGAACTTCCGGAAACTATGATGTGATGAAGGACATTTAAACTGGTTCAACGGTTTTGCAGTGTGTATGGATGAATTAATTTCTTTCTTTTACGTTTATTGAATATGATATTATGTTACAGTTGTTATAACGATATTACTACATCTTAATATGATATAATTGCACTAATTTGATTAATTGGGACCCCGCATTATAATGTTTTATACCAAAAAAAAAAGATCCACCGATAACATCAAATCATTAGATTTTTAGGTGCAGTACAGTAAAAAAAATATACAATGTTCTTTTTGTTAAATTGTAATTCATAGGTGTCAAAAGAAGATTTGATTTGTTTAGATTTAAATAGATTTGAATTTAAATCTAGATTGTTAAATTGTAATTCATAGGTGTCAAAAGAAGATTTGATTTATTTAGATTTAAATAGATTTGAATTTAAATCTAGATTAGATTTGATTTAGTAAAGAGATATTTTGGGCTTGGGTTAGGGAGCAAGCTAACCTAAATCTATAAATAAGAGGGAGTAACCCTTATTTTTGTATTCAAGTCATTGAAGTCATTCACAGTATTTTGCAGTTGCAAAGTGAATTAATAAAGATTCCACAGTTTGTGGGCAGAATAGAAATTCTGCAGAAATATCTCCATTGTTCTTTTCTTTGTTTGTCATAACTAATCATCAGTGGTGGTCAAAATTCATCATAAAGTATTGGTGGATTTCCAACATCTGGTATCAAGAGCTTGTGTTTCGATTCAAGGGAAGTATCAATCAAGAACGATTGAAGAATTCACGATGACAAGTTATGAGAATGCAAACTATCCAGCAACGCTGCCAATTCTGAAAGTTGACAAATATGAGAATTGGTGCAAGCAGATGAAAGTCCTATTAAGGTGTCAAGGCCTTTGGGACCTTGTAAAAGATGGAGTCGAAGCGCTTGGCGAAAACGCTTCAGAAGAAGAAAAGAAGACATATACAGAATCTGAGAAGCAGAGTTATAAAGCATTATTTATAATTCATCAATGTGTCAGCCCAGACAACTTCGAAAAGATTAGTGATTCAGAATCTGCAAAAGAAGCTTGGGAGATCCTTGAGAAGTCTTTTGGAGGCGCTGAGAAGGTGAAAGAAGTGAGGTTACAAACTCACAAAAGAACCTATGAACTGCTTCAGATGGAAGACAGTGAAAACATATCTGATTTCTTCACTAGAGTTACAAAACTAGTGAATCAAATCAAAACATGTGGAGAAACATTAACAACAAGAGCTGTTGTTTTGAAGATCCTGAGATCCTTAGCCCCTAAGTTCGACCACATAGTGGTGGCGATCGAAGAGGGGAAAGACTTGTCGAAATTGACAAAGGAAGAGCTTCAAGGGACGCTCGAATTTCATGAACAAAGAATGAACGAAAGAGCTGCAGGAAAATCGAAGAGTGATGTAGCCTTGCAGGCACATTCAGCAAAAGAAACCAAAGGCAAAGGAAAGTATTTTGACAGAAGTAGAGGTGGCTACAACAAATCGAATGGTAGAGGAAACCAAATCGAAGGAGACGTGTCGAATCAAAGAAGACCACACCAAGGCAACCAAAGAGGTGGTGCTGCAAACAGAGGAAGAGGTGGTGGTCGAAAACCTGATAAGAGTCACATTCAATGTTACAATTGTCAGAAGTATGGTCACTATTCGAGTGACTGTCCAGAAAAACGAAAAAATCAAGAAAGTGATGCAAAGCTGGCAAAACATGAAGAAGAAGAAGAGATGATGCTGATGGTCACAACAAGAGATGAAGATAGATTCAAGGACCAATGGTACTTGGATTCAGGATGTTCATCACATATGTCTGGAAGGAAAGACTGGTTCGTCAACATAAAACCCTCAACGAAAAATTTGGTAAAATTTGCAAATGACAACACCCTAGCAGCTGAAGGTATTGGTGATGTTATGATCATGAGGAAAGATGGCAAGAAGTCAGTAATTTCAAATGTATTGTACATACCAGGCATGAAGAGCAATTTGCTCAGTATAGGGCAGTTGGTCGAAAAGAATTATAAAGTGTCAATCGAAGATAAGTTGATGAGAGTTGTTGATGCAAATGGGAGAGTAATCTTGAAGGCTCATATGTCTCAGAATCGAACCTTCAAGATTGAACTAAATGTGATGGAGCACAAGTGCCTTTCGACTGCATCTAGCAAAGATGAATGGATATGGCATTATAGACTAGGTCATCTCAACTTCAGAGACATCAGAGATTTGAAGAGAAGAAATATGGTTTCAGGATTGCCTGAAATTGACATTCCAAATGAAGTATGTGAAGAATGTGTGCAGGCGAAGCAACACAAGAACAGCTTCAGCAAGGATGCAGGAAGCAGATCGAAGGCTAATCTCGAAGTCATATACTCTGATGTATGTGGACCAATCCAGGTGGATTCGATGGGAGGTAACAAATACTTTGTTACATTCATAGATGATTTCAGTCGAAAGCTATGGACTTACCTGATCAAGAAGAAAAGTGAAGTGTTCGAAGTATTTATCAAGTTCAAGTCCATGGTCGAAAGACAAAGTGGTCGAAAGCTCAAAGTTTTGAGAACTGATGGTGGAGGAGAATATGTGTCGAAAGATTTCGACAGATTATGTGAAAAGGAAGGGATTGTGCATGAGGTGGTACCACCCTATACTCCACAGCAAAATGGAATTGCAGAAAGGAAAAATCGAACCATCATGAACATGGTGAGAAGTATGTTTAAAGGCAAGAATTTACCCAAAGAGTTCTGGGGTGAAGCTGTTTCGACTGCAACATACATTTTGAACAGAAGTCCTACAAAGAAGCTAGAAGGAATTACTCCAGAAGAATGTTGGTCTGGTGTGAAGCCTAGCTTAAGTCATCTGAAAGTATTTGGATCTATTGCACATAGACATGTGCCATATCAGTTGAGAAAAAAACTTGATGACAAGTCAAGTCAAATGATCCTAGTTGGATATCATTCGACAGGAGGCTACAAGTTGTTCGATCCAGAGAACAAGAAGATTGTGATCAGCAGGGACGTGATCATAGATGAGTTCAAAGAATGGGATTGGACTGCAAATGTCAAGAAAGATTCAGTGGGAATCTTATTCGAAGAGCCAGAAACTCAAGTCAAAAGAGAAGTTCGACAAGAGGAGCCAGCAGATATACCCAGTACAAGCAGACCTCAAAGAACAAGACGCATGCCTGCAAGATTGCAAGATTGTGTGATTACATCAGATGATGTAATAGATAATGAAGGTGAGCTGGTACATTATGCTTTCTATGCAGATGTCGAACCTGTTAATGCAGCTGAAGCATTAAAAGATTCGAAGTGGGTGAAAGCAATGAACGAAGAAGTAAAGTCTATCGAAGACAACAACACTTGGTCACTTGTCGAATTGCCTCAAGGCAAGAAGGCAATTGATGTCAAATGGGTATACAAAGTGAAGACGAATTCGAAAGTTGAAGTAACTCGACACAAAGCCAGACTTGTGGCGAAAGGATTTCTACAGAAAGAAGGAATAGACTTCGACGAAGTTTTTGCACCTGTTGCTAGGATCGAAACAATCAGGCTGGTTGTTGGTCTAGCAGAAATCAACAGTTGGCACATATGTCAGATGGACGTGAAGTGTGCATTCCTAAATGGACCCTTAGATGAAGAAGTCTATGTTAAACAACCAGTTGGGTTTGTGAAACATGACGAAGAAAGAAAGGTGTACAGGAGACATCATGACGAAGGGAGTGCAGGTCGAAGTATTCAGAAAGCTAAGGGCCATGATGAACATAGACAGTTTAGACACAATGAATTAGGTGGTGTGTTAAATTGTAATTCATAGGTGTCAAAAGAAGATTTGATTTGTTTAGATTTAAATAGATTTGAATTTAAATCTAGATTGTTAAATTGTAATTCATAGGTGTCAAAAGAAGATTTGATTTGTTTAGATTTAAATAGATTTGAATTTAAATCTAGATTAGATTTGATTTAGTAAAGAGATATTTTGGGCTTGGGTTAGGGAGCAAGCTAACCTAAATCTATAAATAAGAGGGAGTAACCCTTATTTTTGTATTCAAGTCATTGAAGTTATTCACAGTATTTTGCAGTTGCAAAGTGAATTAATAAAGATTCCACAGTTTGTGGGCAGAATAGAAATTCTGCAGAAATATCTCCATTGTTCTTTTCTTTGTTTGTCATAACTAATCATCAGTGGTGGTCAAAATTCATCATAAAGTATTGGTGGATTTCCAACACTTTTCACTTGATAACTATTTTCTTCTATGAAATGGTATTTTGACTCCCTAGACTAATAAATTCTAAGCACAGTTCTAAAATCCGGACTGTTTAAACCGGTCCAATTACTTGAACTAGATATTGGATTTGTCATCGGTTTGGCCGTGTTACTAGACCATTTATATAAATAAACCAATGAGTGAAAATCAAATAAAATCAATCAAAATGAACTGATTAGTGGGTCGCTACTAAATTTGATATTTATGAATTGTTATTATTTTTTAAAAAGACAAAAAATAAAAATCAAACTTGTGACATTCAAAAAAGTTAGGTTTTTCTCTTTAAATCACATGCACATCTCATAAAATTGTAATGGGTAGATTTGAAGTCTGATGAAATAAGAAGACTAAATTATTTCGAATAATCTTACTCTTAAGTATCTCGTCCCTTCAGGTATCATGTTTAGAAGATTGTATATTTTTCGGGTGTTTTTTAGGCTTCCTCACCTAAAAGTAACATGAGTCCGTCCAATTAGAATAAGCTCGCCCAAAAAGGACCTAGGGTTTAAGATTTAGGTAGGCTAGGAGTAAGGCTAGCCAGGTTAGGATAAGGTTGAGCATAGCCTATTTCCAAGGTTTAGCACGATGTAGGTTGCCATTGACAACATATTCGCGAACAATCGTTTACGAATAATTATCAGTATATTCAGACATATCTCACCAATGTGATAATTAATAAATCAATAACTATTAATGTCCATTAAGCCGACTAATGGCATTTAAGGTCATTTTCTTTGATCAAGTAGGAG